GCTTTTAACAAAGGAAAAAAATTTGGGAGAATAAATATGAATGAAATTTATTTGTTTGATTTTCGCTAACATAAATAAAAAATAAAATATTTTCTCTTATTATTATTTTAATGCTTTCTTTTCTTCAATAAATATTCAAAAAATTATTTAAATATTTTTTAGATAATAGAAAAATTTGTTTAAAAATTTACTTCGCTGTCAGTTCTTGACTTTTTCCTAATATGCACCCCACCACCAAAAACAAGTCTTAAAAAAGGTGGAGGCTAAAACAAAGTGTTCATATAGGAAAAATGTTAAGGATGGCTGGCGTTGTTTAATTTAATTTTAAAAACAAATTAAAAATAACCTGAAAACAGGCGGAATTAAAACAAGTTGTGTAATGTTTTATATAAAAATAAACTAAAAACAGGCGGAATTTTTAAAATACATATAACTAATTTTAATTCCGCCTGTTTATAAATTTATTTTATACTAATTCAGCCTGTTTTAATAATTCCGCCTTTTTGTGGTTTGTTTTCCAGTGCTTAAATTTTTTAAAAATTAAAAAAATTAACCCCAAAAAAATAATTTTAATATTAATTAAATTTCCAATTCAAGCAATTCCCCAACAATCAGCAACAAATTCCTTTCTACAGTAACCTCCAAATTATAAACACTCATTTTCCGATTTGTTCTTTTCTTAACATTCTCAAGCTTGCAATCCTCTAATTTTACATTTGTTTTGCGGAGATGAGGACGTTTTTGTTTCCCATAAAGCCATTGTGAACACAAGTTTATATAAAAGTTTTTTAATTCAGAAATAATTAAATGGGAAGGATTATTTATTTGAACATTTAAATTTGCTTCAAAACTTGTTTTTGTTTTTTGACGTTTGTTTGGCTTGTTTAAAACTTGTTTGGCTTGATTTGCAACATGTTGGAGGGAAAACAAAAGAACTAATGTTTTGGACGCTTCTTTTCTTTGCTGAAATGTTTTTAAATGTTTTGAATTCCGCCTGTTTGGAATAAATTAATAATCAGAAAAACAGGCTAAATTAATTAAGCTGCAATGATTTTAGTTTAGTAATAAACTAAAAACAGAAGAATTTTTATTGAAAATTAAAATTCCGCTTTTTCTATACAGTGACCTGCGCTGGACCGGATCCGACCGGACCGGATATGGGACTTGGATTTATTAATCCACATAAGAATTAATAAAAAAATTTTTTGAAAAATCCGGGAAAAAATCCGGATCCGGTCCGACATGAGTGTGAACTCAAAAATCCGGTTCCGGACCCAAAATAATAATTTTGCCAGTCATTAACAACTACCTTCAATAAATATTTCATTCCATAGGGATTTAAAGCATACAAAATACTCCAAATAAAATCAAACATTTTCATTAGATTATAAGCTTTAATATATATTTTGTATAAATAAATTCGAGTATTTTCAAATTTTTCCAATTCCTTCTCTGTACATTTAATTTTTAAATGTCTATAATAATTTATACATTTATCCTCCTCTTCAACCAATTTTTGCAAATGTTCATTTCTTTCTTTCGAAAATTTTCTAAAATAATTTCCAAATTTAATTGTTGTATTAAAATCCAAAATATTAGCATCAGAAAAATTTTCTGTTCCCTCAGTTGCCCATTTTATTGTTGTTGAATACCAAGTTTCAAATTGGTCAATATCTTAATTTAAATAATATATAATTTAATTCCGCCTGTTTTTGGAATGTTTTATTTAATTTTTTTGTTTTTAAACAGGCGGAATATTAATTGTTATTTAATAATGTCGCCTCTTTTCATAAGTATTATTTCATTAAAAACAGGCGGAATTAATAAAATAACTATGTGAAGTAATTATATTTATTTCCGCCTGTTTAGCAAAATAAAAACAGGCGGAATATTATAAAAATCAACTTTACTCTTCAATACCAACAAACTTCTAATTTGTATACCCCTTAGGTTCAAATTATCAAAATATTACCAAAAACTTCAGAAAAATTATAAGGAGGTTCAGGATGCTTGTTATCACTACTTCCAGCAATATTTTCCAATTCCTCAACACTTCCCCATTTTAACAAATTAATAAATTGTTTAGATTGTTTCATTAAAACCTCCCAACATCCAATAATTATTTTTTGTTTTTCCCCAGCCAATTTTTCATTTTGATTAGATAATTTTAAAAATACAAAAAAAGGAAAGAGATGATTATCTTCAATTATTTCCAATTTATTTCCACTAAGAAAGTCTTCCAATGTTTGGATATTTGAAATAAATTGGGTTTGAATTTCTATTTGTGTGTTTATTTTGGTTAAAAGTGCTGCAAATTTAAGGGGGCATGAGTTATATTAGGGAATATATAGGGATTTTAGAGGGAAGGGAGAGGGGGATAGAGAAAGATTTCTAATGTTTTAAGTGATAATTAAAATTATTTCCCTTAAATTATTTTTCTCGTTTCGTTGTTGCCCTTCAAGGTAAATAGAAAAACTTCGCCCATCTGCTCCAAATCCCCCTAATATCCTTCAAAATCTCTGAGTAGACATAAACATAAAGGGTATGCCGAAATTGACTACCAAAAATTTTTCTGTATTAATCTGAAAAAAGCTATAGCCATTAGTTAACACACAATAAATGTCTAGCTTTTAAAACTTCGAAACAATGCCGATTTTTATCAAAAACAAAACGACTTAATTGCCGTTATTAAAAAATTAAAAAAATATTACATACAATTACGTATTTCTTCGTTGTCTTGACAAAAAATAAAATTAATTTGAATAATTAAAATTAATAAAATAAACATTTTAAAAATTTAATTTTCTTAAAAGTTAAAAAAAACAAATTGGGACTTAAAAATTAATTTTTAAGCAACTTTCAGATAAAAAACAAAATAGTGGTTAAGACAAAAGAAATTACCTAGTCTTGTTGTTTACTACCAGTTATTAACTGATAATACCCTCTCAGACCCCCTTGTTTCGACTCTGATTTATTAACTAAAGTAGTTCACATTCGGTGTCTGGTTTGGATTAATTAATCGTGAATTCTCGAATATAGGTAATTTAAAATCCGAAAACTTTTGTGGACATTTAATCCCAAATTTTTAAAAAATATTTTTAAAATAAATTAATGAATAAAAGGAATAAAAGTTTATTATTTAAAAATAAAAAAAGAAGGAAGTATTTGACTGAGAAAATTACTTATATTATTTTAATTTTAAATATTTTTCTCATTATTTCCGTTAAATTTGCACTTTAAAATATTTTAAAATAAGTGTGGGAATTAAAGTGCTTTTTAATTACAAAATAATTTTTTAAACAAAAGTGCAATTAATTTAAAAAAAATTAAATTACGAAAACAGACGGCTACATATTTTTATTCTAAATTTAATAAATAAAAATAATTTTATGAAGGGGATTTTTAGATAACTCGAAACTTGTACAGCGACTAGAAAATATAAGGTATTTCAACAAGGACTTAAAGACAGCTAAACCTCTATTTCATAGACGTGTTTGTTAAGTCTGGTTTCCCAACTTTTCTCTGGATCGGGTTTCGGGGAACCCCACGCTCGTTATAGAGAGAGAGCGATGCCCCTCCTGAGTTAACTTAGGTAGTTTAACTCAGGAGGGGCATTGGAGGGGGCAAGTTATAGAAAGAATATTTAGAACAATATTATTTAGAATGGGGATTTTCGAAAGTCTCTAGATCCCAAAAATTCAGAAACGGAAATGGATCTGTTGTAAAAATTAAAATGGGGGGGGGGTACTTACTTAAAGCTTTTTGCCTTAGCGCCTGTACAATTTTCCTTTAGTCTTTTTAAATATTCAAGTGAAAAAAATTTCTTATAATGGGGACTACAAAACTATTTTTCGAAAAAATTAAAAGTGTTAAAATTAAATAATCCATTTAAAATATTTTTATAACCCATTAAAAACACTTTCTTCTTTAAATCTGCAACGTATCACTCCTATAAAACGAAGATTTTTATTAAAAATTAAAAAAAAATTCTGAAAATCCCTTTAGTTTATATGTATTTGGGATGTTATCTGCAGGGATGGTTTGCCTGTGGTAATGCGGGATGGTTTGCCCGTTTGCCTGCGGGTAAAGAGGGACGGGTAACAAATAATCGAGTAAATTTTTCTCTCTAGTACACCAAAAGCGCCCTGAAGTGCTTGGTATGTTTTATTCTGTAGCCCGCACAGGCACCCCGCCAAAGACGGCTCCGAAGCTAGCTACCGAAGCCACATCTCCAGCATTTTAATCCAATTAAAATAAAAAATTATAACTAGCCTCAATTCTTTAACTTTCCTCAACATCAACAACTTCCTCCTTAACTTCAACATGTTTAACTTCAAATTTACGGCGACAATTTGGGCAATCTTTTTTACCTTTTCCCCAATGTTGAGCAATGCATTCTAAATGAAATTTGTCTTCACAAGTCTTTAACTGAACAATTTGTTTTGACTGATCATCAGCTTGTGATAATTCCTCATTAGAGTCTTGCTTACATATTGTGCAATGAAAGTCTTGACCATTTTCAGGGGTTTTGTTGATAAATTGATTAAATGGAGAATCGGGTGATAAATACTTTAATTGTTAAAATTTAGTAAACTTAAAGGGTAAAGCTAAAAGAAATACATATGGTAGACAAGCTTGAAGGTCATAGATAGAGAGCGAATTGGGAGCGATATCTTAAAAAATATCGAGATTTTTGTCCGAGATTTCGAGTTTTAATATTTTAACAATTTTCATAAGCAGTGCTGTCTGAAATTTTCAGGAGTTGCGTAAATTGTTTGTGCACTTGAGAAATTAATTGAGGACAGCCATGCATAATTCACCCCAGTTAAAGTATATGTAGTAAACTCGAAGTGTTGAGCCACCACCTACCTTAGGAATTACAAATGGGAAAAGATGTGGGACTGGCAGAGTTAGCGGATACGAGTATCAGGATCGATAAAAGTTAAAATATCCGGAAATTTTCTGTTCAAACATCGGTCGGATATCCGGGGATTTCCTTATCAACTTTGATTCTGTTGGTCGATTATTAAAAAAGAATTTTCACTTACATGATTTTTCCACGTTATCTCATTAATAACGGCACGTATCTCATCAGGCATGTCCAATCCCTTTTCTTGTTCTACATCAGCTTCAGGTAAAGCAAGAGGAGAAGCAACACTATGAGGCGATGTTTTGTGATCAGAAGAGTGAAGAGGACTTGGAAGGTGTTTAAGAGAAGTTGGAGGATGAGAAGAGTGAGGAGGACTTGGAAGAGGTTTAGGAGAAGTTGGAGGATGAGAGGAGTGAGGAGAACTTGGAAGAGGTTTAGGAGAAGTTGGAGGATTAGAAGAGTGAGGAGGACTTGGAAGAGGTTTAGGAGAAGTTGGAGGATGAGAAGAGTGGGAGGAAGAACTTTGAGGTCGAGTGGAAGGAATCGAATGAGGAGAAGAGGAAGCTGGTGAAGCAAGATCAACAGGCCTATTTTCAATAAAAGAATCTTTAACTCGCTCCTTTTGAGATTTTGACATTTCTTCAACCAATTTCAAACAATCATGTTGATTAAAAAGTTCGAAAGCTTCGTTTACTGTATTTTTCAAATTTTCTTCTTCCTGAAAATTCAATGTTAGATTTTTAAAATTAGTTGATTGTTTTGTACAGCTTACCTCCTGTGTTCTCTTAAGCTTACTTTCCTGTTCTATTCATCCTAAATACTACGTGCCCATTTAGCCTAGTTTCCAAGGCCCCCTACAGCCCGTGGCGCGACATTTAGGGATTAAACTTTTGGGGATCCGACTTTTGGGGACCCGACATTTGGGGACGAAATAAAGTTTTTAAAAAAAATTTGAAAATCTACCTAAAGCGGGTCTTTAATGCATGGTGAGATATACTCCCTCGATATTTGACTCCCGCGCTTGGTTTTTACCCTCATTCGACTCAGACATCGAGCTGAATCAATGACAATGTTTTGTCCATATCAGACCATGAATTAAAGACCCGCTCTAGGTAGCCATTACAATAAAAATTTTTTAATACCTGTACAAGTGATCGTTTCGCAGCATCCCTCCATACATTTTTTAGTTGCACGTTTGTAATTTCACCGAATACTGAACTCGCACCTTTATTTTTGCCCAAACCTTTAAACATGGTATCCCAACCAATTTTTCTTTTTGTTCCAGATTTTGGGGGACTTGAACTTTTTTCCTTTTCAGCTTTTCCCTCTTCTTTAGGACTTGTTTCACGTTGCTTAGAAGATCCATCTCCATTTCCTCCATTCACATAAATTATCAAAAATGACAAAATTATGAAGGAAAGAAGAAAATTTTTGTGAAGAAATGATTGAAACATTCTTCCTAAAATTTAATTTAAAATTAAAGATTGAGAGAATATAAAGAAGAATAGACAATAGAACTATACCAGGGCGCGAAGTTAGCAGTACGTCAGTACGTTGGGCTCGCGCAGAGTTGGGGGTGTAATCGCTTACAACATTGCTAATTCTCTACTAAACGTATGTTCACCAACCCAAGCCAATTGACAAGCTTCACAAACTTGGGAGACTGTGGCTCAAAATTTAAGATTTTCTAGTACTCGTACTTTCCCACATTGTAACAAGTGAAATTCATTAAGAGGACAAGTACAAATTATGTTACGAGCTTGGAAGCACTGTAGACGAACTGTCTTTTAGAATAGAGACGCGAACAGCTACAGATAATGCAAGTCTGAAGAATCGCGATGGAACTCATTGGTAAAACTCGGAAATAAAAAATATCTAAGAATAAAATTTAATCTAGTCCGACAATACAATTTTGTTTTTTCTCATTTTATTTTCAAAGTTTAAATCCCCGTTAAGTGTCAAAATGCTTCTAGATTAGGTAACTTCCTTTCCTAGAAGTTTATTGGGTAGGTTGTATTTTACATAAAAAGAGGTACTGAAATTGATAAATGCTCTTTTTAAACAGAAATATTTTTTTATTTTTTTTAAATTCAAACGCTCAAAGATACACTGCGACGCAAAATTATACGTCCACCCCATTTTTTCAAAATTTTTCCATTTGTATTGATCAGAATTTTCTGAAAATTTAAATACACATTATTTACTGAATAACTAACAAGATGTCTAAGGATTTTTGGCAAAATTTTTATTTTAAAAATTTTTAAACCAAAATTTGTGTTTTCGGCCTACGCAAAATTATACGTCCACTTTCAAAAAAAGTTATTTCTAACAATGGGAAAAATCTACAAAAATTACAGTAAACTTATATATTGATATTATAAAAAATAAAAAAGAAAGTAGGTCCATATCGTTACTCTAAGCCGAGATCCTGAGATCTCGAAAATCAACGTAAAACAGGGTTTTTCAACTTTAAAAAATATTTTCGACCCCTTATGAATTATTACAAATTTTGATTTTGGACTTATTCGAAAGCCCTTGAAATTTGCTACAAGATAGCATTAATCTTATTTTTCAGAAAAAATTTTATAGTGAGATGTAGACCGTTAATCTTTGGAAGCAACCTTAAGGGGAATTTTATGGGTCATTTAGGAGTTTTTCCTGTATCAAAAGTTTAAATTCGTGTTCCTCTAAAAGAAATTTTTTCTGAAAAATAAGATTAATGCTATCTTGTAGCAAATTTCAAGGGCTTTCGAATAAGTCCAAAATCAAAATTTGTAATAATTCATAAGGGGTCGAAAATATTTTTTAAAGTTGAAAAACCCTGTTTTACGTTGATTTTCGAGATCTCAGGATCTCGGCTTAGAGTAACGATATGGACCTACTTTCTTTTTTATTTTTTATAATATCAATATATAAGTTTACTGTAATTTTTGTAGATTTTTCCCATTGTTAGAAATAACTTTTTTTGAAAGTGGACGTATAATTTTGCGTAGGCCGAAAACACAAATTTTGGTTTAAAAATTTTTAAAATAAAAATTTTGCCAAAAATCCTTAGACATCTTGTTAGTTATTCAGTAAATAATGTGTATTTAAATTTTCAGAAAATTCTGATCAATACAAATGGAAAAATTTTGAAAAAATGGGGTGGACGTATAATTTTGCGTCGCAGTGTATTTAAAATAAAATTAAAAAAAAATAAAAATGTAAATTAAGAAAAGAAAATTTTATTGGGGGGGGGTGAAGAGGAGAGGAGGAGGAGAAGGAGAAGGGAGGGAGAGATAAAAAAAGGCAAATTATAATAAATTTAGTCAAGAAAGGGAAGGGAGGGAAAGATTAAGAGAAAAGGGAATTGAGAGGTGGATAAGAGTTAGAGTTAATCAATTAATGCCACATAGATCTAAAATTTTGAAATAAAGAATATCCCCCCCTCTTCACGAAGAGCTGTCCAATACAAAACATTTCATGATAACAAAACTTATTGTTAGTCCCAAGATTTTAATTAAAATTTTCGGGATTTTTAGAAGGGGTTGGAGGAGGGGGAAATGTTGTTAAACATGGAGGAGTGTAAAAATAAAATTATAACAATTTTAAGCGACTTTTTTTAGAATGCCCTTTTTTATTTGAAAAAAAATTTTTTGATTAACGCTAAAAATAAAGTCTAATGTCTAGCCTCTTTCCCTACCCTTTTTTTATTTAAATTTCATAATTTACAAAGACACCGACATTTTTAAAAAATACATGTAAAATTGATTTTATCTAAAATATAATTGCACTTTATTAATAAACAGGACTCATAAAATACGCCCTGAGGACGAAAATTGTAACTTATAATGAGGCGTATCATAAATAGAAGGCGATGCACCTCTATTTAAGATACTCTCATTATACTAAGATACGATGTTTCTGGACCAATTCTTTTTTTCTAATTTAATAATATGAAAAAAAATTTTTTTAAATGAGGTTAGAGAAATATGTAGGTATTTTATGGATATGCCGCTCCCTATTTTGAACAGGTTAATGAATAAATGATTGCAAAAAATAATATTTGTTTTTTCAATGTCTAACATTTGAATATGCCACAGGAAAATTGAGGAAGTAAGAAAGTCTGACCATTCTGCACATCATAAGGGAAATCTGAGACTCAAAATAGGGGGCGTCATATCAATAAAGTACCGAAAAATATCAAAATTCCTTCTAGCTCATTGTAGAATACAAGAACCATTTACACAATAACTGTTCAGACAAGGATCTTCCCCTATAAATAAAAATTAAAAATTTTCCGAGAAAGCACTAACCATTCGTAAAGCCTGTACAGTTTCCGCCTTGACGGACTTTAGATGTACACAATGGATAGGTGTGGGAACGGTCACAAAATAAATATCTGAAATAAAAAATAATTATTTTTGTCATTATTTAAAATAATAGATATTAGGGAGGAGGGTTGGGGAAGGGGAAGGCGAGGAATCAGAAAGGGTAGGAGGCCTTAAGAGGAGTAACCCCGAGGAAAATTTTTTGTTTAGGAGGCTGCGCTCAAGGGGGAGGGGAGTGGGAGGAGACAACGTGGAGATTAACAAGGACGTGGAGATTAGTGGGAGGAAGAGGGAGGTGACACCTTCACACGATAAAACAAAGACCCCCAAACTTTCCCCAAAAAATTAAATGGAGCCATCCTTTTAACCAGTTAAATTTGATTAATAATTTGATAAATCCCCTACTTTGATCCACATTCTGTCTTGAAACTACAAGTAGGTCTATGGTGAAATTTAAACATATTGTCGGTATATTCATTTCTAAGTCCATCCCAATTTTGTAAGGGCTACAAGTTTTTTTTTAATTTTCAAAAATTAATTGAAAATTTAAAAAAAAATTTTTTACAGCAAATTGTGTCATATTTGCAAATTTAAAATGCTTCTTCAACTCGCAAGCCTCAAATAATTAAAATTTATTTATTTATTAAATTTAAATTTTACAGGAATATCGGCTGGATAGTCATTAGCTCGTTGCCTTCTGTTTTGGGTTATTTCTCTCCAATATTCAAAAACCTAAAAAAAGTTGATTTGTATTTGAAACACGGCTGAGTTACAGGGCTGAAACACTAAGAATCCCTAAGAACCATTTATACATACGTTTCGTGATGTTATAAATCGTTGTTTTTTTGTTTATTTTGGGAAAAATCATTGGGAAAGGCCTTCCAACCATTAGCCAAGGAGGAGAACTGGGTAATTAATGCTTCAACTAGAGAGTATGCATAATTAATCGAGGTGGGGTAATCATTCTGCTATTTTTTAGGAACATAACTAAAGTTGGGTATGTTTACAAGGTGCAGGTATATCGAAGTGGAGGTAGCTCCGAGCGACACTCATGTGTGAGACTATATTCGTCTTAAATAAAATTATCTTTAAATTAAAAAAATTAACCAAATCAACAAAACAATGATGCATAAAAAATATAGGATCATTTGCAGGTTTGTTGGGGATAAATGTAGCCATGTCCCCGCCAATAAATAAGTGAGGGAATCCATGAGGGTACTTTTAAAAATTAAAATAAATTCAAAAAATTAAAAGTAGAATCACTTCAAAAGCATCCCATTCGATTTTTACAGGGCATGCCAGCCTTGCCGATGTATAAGCAAGTACA